GTCAGATTGAACCAAGAGGTTGGTGGCTTAAACCCACCAGTTGCTCCTTGGAAACCCTATACAGGGTTGCTATGGGTTGGAACTGACTCTATGGCACTTAACAACAACACTTTACCAAGCATGATGTCTTTCTTCAGGGACTGGTTTCCCCTAAGTACATGTACAAAGTAGGTGAGATAAGTCTCACCACCCTCACCTCTAATAAGCTTTCGGCTGTACTTCTACTAAAATAGATTTGTTCATTCTTCTGGAAGTCCATGATATTTTCAATATTCTTCACCAACACAGTAATTCAAATATATCAGTTATTCTTCTGTTTTCCTTATTCATTGTCCTGTTTTTTCATGCATGTGAGGCTACTGAAAGTATCACAGTTTGGGTCAGGTGTACCTTAGTTCTCAAAGTGACATCTTTGCTCATTAACACTTTAAAAATCTACAGCAGATTTGCCCAGTGATTTCTTTACTGCTGCTTCAACAAGCGCTGATTATGGATCCAAGTAAAATGAAAATCTTGGCAACTGCAATGCCTTTTCGCTTTAAACATGATGTTGTTTATTAGTCCAGTTGTGAGGATTTTTGCTTTCTTTACATTGCATTGTAATTCATATTGCAGGCTAAATTCTTTGATCTTCATCACTTAAGTGCTTCAAGTTCTTTCTTAGCTTTCAGTAAGCAAGGTTAATGAGTCTTCCTCCAAACCTGATGGGACATTCTCCCTCATATAGTCTGTTGTTGTTGTTATGTGCCGTGGAGTCAGTTCCGACTCATAGCGACCCTATACAGGGTTTCCAAGGCTGTAAATCTTTATGGGAGCAGAACGCCTCATCTTTCTCCTGCGGAACAGCTGGTAGTTTCGAACTGCTGACCCTGAGGTTCACAGCCCGATTCATAACTACTACGCTACCAGAGCTCATATAGTCTAGCTTCCTATATTAGCTAAGTATACAGACTGAATAAGTATAGTGAAAGGATAACACCTTAATGCACACCTTTCCTTTTAAACTGGTCAGTATCCCCACGTTCTGTTCGAATGACTACCTCTTGGTCTATGTAGAGATTCCACATTAGCACAACAATCAAGTGTTATGGAATTCCCATTCTTTGCAATGCTATCCATAATTTATTATGATTCACAAAGCCAAATGCCTTTACATAGTCAATAAAATGCAAGTAAACATCTTTCTGGTGTTCTCTGTTTTTAGCCAAGAACCATCTGACATCAGCAATGACATCCTTCATTTCACATCCTCTCCTGAATCCAGCCTGAATTTTTAGCAGCTACTGATTGATGTTCTGCTGCAACCAATTTTCATCAAAAATTTGCTTGACTGTGATTGTGATATTGATATTATTATTTGATAACTTACCCCAAAATATGAGTCTCTTTAAGTTAGCTGGCCAAGTAGCTGTCCTCCAAATTTCTTGGCATACATGAGTGACCACTTCAGCCAGCACTGTATTAATTTACTGAAATATTTCAATTGGTACTCTGTCAAATTCTGGAGGCTTGTTTTTCACCAAAGCCTTTAGTGCAGCTTGGACTTCTTTTTCAATCCCATTGATTCTTGATCATATGCTATGCCTTGAAATGGTTGACTATCAACCAATTACTTTTGGTTAAATGACTGTGTAGTCCTTCCATCTTCTTTTGATGCTTGCTTGCTCATTCAATATTTGCCCATAGACACCTTCAAGGCTTGACTTTTTTCTTCAATTCTTTCAGTGTGAGAAATGTTGAGCATATTTTTCCCTTAAGTTTCTTACTCCAGGTCTTTGCACCATTTATTAAAATACTATTTTCATTCTTGAGCTACCCTTGATATTTTTTTGTACAGCTCGTCTACTTAAATCATTTCCTGCCACTTCAACTTCTCTACACTCAAGAGCACATTTCAAAGTCTCTTCTGACATCCATTTTGATCTTTCTTTCCCAGTCTTTTTAAAGATCTTTTGCTTTTCACATACACTAATCTCATCATTAGTGGTTCAGTCATTACTATATAATACATCCAATTTACCCTTGAGATGGTTTAGAAATTTAGTTGGGATATACTCAAGATAATAATTTGGCTCTCGTGGGTTTGTTTTGATTTTCTTCAGTTTCAATTGATGGTCTATCCTATAGTCGACACCTAGCCTTGTTTTAATGGAGTCCTGGTGTGGTGATAAAGGATAAGCACTAGACCACAAGGTAGGTGTGAACTGCAAAATGAAGACTTCAAATCCATCAGCTGCTTGAAAACTCTCTACAGGATCACTATGAGTCGTAACCTAAAACAACAGACTGAGAACTAAAACAGCAAACAATAACCTTGTTTGGCAGATGATGTTGAGCTTCTCCGTTGTTTCCTCCCACATATGTATTTAATTTGATTCTATATAATCCATCTGGTGAATTCCACGTGTATAGTTGCTGTTTATATTGTTCAAAATGGTATTTGCAATGAATAAGTTATTGATCTTGCACTATTCTATCATGCAGTCTCTAGCAGTATTTCTGTCACCATGGCCATCTTTGAAAACTATCATCCCTCCTCTTTGTTTCCAACATATCAATGCATTTGATTGCATTCTTGATCAATTACAGACTGAAGAAGTCGGTAAATTAATAAATTTCTTTATCATTGGCATCCTTGGTTGATGCATAAATTTGAATAATCGTATTAACTGGCTTTCCTTGTAGGCGCAGGGACATTATATTTCAAGACAGATCTTGCAGTGTTTGTATTGACAATGAATACAATGTCATTCCTTTTCACTTTGTCATCCTGGCATAGTAAATCATGATTGTCTGATTCAAAATGGCACATATTAGTCCATTTCAGTCCATTATCCACTACTGATAATGCTTAGGATATTGATCTTTATGCATTCATTTCACTTTGGACAACTTCCAATTTTCCTAGAAACATATTTTCCACATTCCACATTCTGATTATTAATGGGATATTAATGATTTTTTGCAGCTGTTTCTTCTCACTATGTGTTATCCCACCAGCAAATGCCGGTCACGAAAGCTTTACTACATCTATATCATTAAGGTGAACTCTATTTTGAGGAGGCAGCTTTTCCCCAGTTTTATTTACAGTGTCTTCTGACCTGAGGGGTTCATCTTTGCAAACTATTTCAGATAATGTCCTGCTGTTTGTTACAAGATTATCAGTGGAAATTTTTACAGAAGTAATCCGCCTGTTCTTTCTTTTCCATCAGTCTTAGCCTAAAAGCTCTGCTGAAACCTGTCTACCACTGGTGACCTCAGTGCTATTTGAAATGTTGGTGGCATAGCTTCCAGGATCACAGTTACAGACAACTATCACAATACGACAAACTGACAAATAGCAGATTAACTTTGTATATGCTTTTAATATCCTAAGTGGGATCAATTTTATAAGAATATTACAATTGTTTTAAGCAATGTTTTTAACAGGTTTCAAGTTTAGCCTTCATTTAGGAAATGATTCACCCAGGGTGTCATCCCCTAACAGTAGACAAACCAAGAGAAACAGAAGAAATAAACACATGTTAATAGTTTTCATTTGGAGTCCTGGTGTGGCACTGTGGGTTAATGCAATGAACTGTAAAGTTGGTTTGAACCTCAAGGTTGGCGGTTCAAGCTCACCAGCCATTCCTCGGAAACCCTATACAGGATTGCTGTGAGTTGGAACTGACTCAACATCACTTAACAACAACACAACAATACATTTCTCTGAGAACTGTTTTTCCACAGTAAATTTTTACTAATGTAAAAATGCAAACAAAATTTCTATACCATATTTAAATTAATTATATATGTTGTTGTTGTTAAGTGCCTTTGAGTCGGTTCCAACCCACAGTGACCCTATACAGGGTTTCCGAGGAGTGACTAGTGAGCTTGAACCACCGACTTTGCAGTCTGGTGCATTAACCCACAGCGACATACCAGGACTTCTAATTATATACAGATATATATAAAATATAGTTTGGATCTATAAAGTATGATATACAGTTGATGTAATTTTTCAGAAAATAATCAAGGTGGAATACGTTTTATCAAGAAAGATACATATAAGCCTTTAACTATTACCATAAATAAAACACTAAGTATTTCACTTGATTTGCCTTTGAAAATAAAATCGCAATTATTATTACATTAATTGGCAAATAAAATCAGAGAACAGAATTTTTTAAAATATTTCTATAACGGATTCAAGAAAAGTTTAGAGAATTTTTTTTTATAACTAGAAAAAGAATAGCTCTTTTAGTTTTGTAGTGATCAGTGGGAGGAGACATTCTACTCAGAAGAGATTAAAGTTTCAGAAAGTAGGGCGTTACAAGATGAAAATAATCACTTTTCAGGATGGATTAAAAAAACGATCAAAATCCCATGATATACTTGGTGTTAAAGGAAGTCTTTCTTCTCAATGGCTAAACAATTACATGTATTCTGAAATTTCTTAATAAATAAACACAATTTTACATATTAAAACCTCGATTCTGTCATATCTGAGGTGCTTCTTAAATTCTTATTATAATCTACTTAAATACGTTGCATTGATCATGGGTTACTCTTATAATTATGAAAACTCAATAGAGCAATTTCTATTATGAAGAAATTACAGTTGGACATTTTACTTTACCACTTTGGAGAGATGTATTTCATTCATTTCTATCATGCTTATAAGTAACGTGGAAAAGATCTCCTACATTTGGCTATTTCTTACATCAGGCTGGAAACAATTGTGACTGAATACAAGTACAAACACCTACTTCTAAAAAAAGAAAAATGCCATGATGTGAGTTAAATAATAGAATTCAAAAATTTGTGGATGAGTATTAACCTTATATTAAATTTACTAGATGAGAGGTGACTTTTATACTATACTACTTGAGTTAAAAAAAATAAATAAATGCTGATGGAAAGGCAAGCAACAGAGCTGAGCATGGAAATGATGAGGGCATGAAGAACCATCTAAGAGTTTCACACACCAGGCTCAAAGTAGATGCACTTTACTAACTTACCTTAGATCTTGGAGATGGTTTTTGCATGTCTCTTTCTATGTCTTTTGTTAGAATGATGGGTAGAGAGTTCTTGCAACTGGCCTCCTAAAAATGTGTATAAGAAATTAGGGATTAGACAATATCTCCCTAACCAAAATTTACGAGGTTGTAAAAGGCAACTTTTATGAGACAGATCTTCACATCAGAAACTGGTGAGTTTGCAATGAGGCGTTACACTGCTTCTTGTCTCGTCACATACAACACAGACGAGCTGATGATGGACTGGGTGTAGGACACACAAGAAAAATATATTCAGAATGATCATAAAAATCTTGCCTACGTCATGTTCCTTTGTCACATATATCTTCACTTCGTCCTTTATTTTCTTTTGAGAATTGAACAGTTATTCTCTAAGATCTCAACCCACAAACTTGCCAATTTTATCCATAATATTACACAAATAGGCTATTACTCAGTAAATACTTTAACTTGAACAATAATTTACCCAACCATTACTGCACAGTGATAGTTTCATATCAATGCATTATATAAGGGGAAAAAATCTGATTATCTATTTACAAAAGTATTACCCTTCTAAGATTTTGGTTCCCACCAAAACAATGCTTGCAAGAGTAATGGCAGAACTTACAAGGAAGCACGGTAGATGAAATTGTATAGATGTACTATTTATTTTTGGAGTCCTGAAGTGGCTCTATGGGTTAATCAAACATTTTTTTGTTCAGAGTTCCTTACTAATCATATTTAAGTACCCGGAAAATCTTAGTTAAAACTGAGCACTGATTTACTCAGTAATAACTTGTAGCCTGGAGTCCTGGTGAGGTGCTGTGGGTTAATGCGCCAGACTGCAAAGCCGTTTGAACTACAAGGTCGGCAGTTCAATCTCACCAGCTACTCCTCGGAAACCCTATATAGGGTTGCTATGGGTCAGAACTGACTCAATAGTATTTAACAACAACAACAACTATTTATTTCTATGTAAATAAAAACAAAAACAATGATAATCCTCTTATTTTCCCCTAATATCTTATTTTCATATAGCCATTAACTTGGTAAGCTTCTGCAGATGATTCCATCACCAAATTAAGACCAAAAAAAAAAAAAAACCACACAAAGAAAAGGAAGACTATAGACTATAGATAGCAATAAACATAGGAAGAAAAAACTCAATATATATATATTTTTAACGTCTTTCATATCCTTCTCTTTGCTTCCCATTTCTTTTCCCACCCTGCCAAACATTCAATCATCTTATAATGTTTTGGTTTTCATTTCAGTTTACTTCAGGGTCAAGTATGTACAATCTCTCAACAAAATTTACACGATATACTTTTTAGAAATGAAGGAAACAAAATGTATTTCTAAAGAGAACTATATATTATTTGGATATAATATGCCTAAAGAAAATGTTTGGTAAAGTGGAAGGTCAGCGAAAAAGAAGCAGATTCCCAACGAGATGGATGTGCACCGTGGCCACATCAATGGGCTTACGTTTAACAATTGTGAGAATAGCGAAGGACTCTGGAGTGTTCTGTTGTGCAGTGTCGCTATGAGTTGGAACCAATTCGATGGCACCTAACAATAACTTACTTCTAGAAAACATTGATCAAATCTTAATATATATGAAGCACTGGGTTAAATCCATAATGTCATTTTATCACCCCAAGAGCCTTATGAGACAGTAGCATTGCCATCATCCCTAATTTAAGGATTAGGTAGAGAGAAGGCATACAAAAGTTAAATGACTTGCCCAGTGTCAGATAGGAATCAAAGTCTGTTCTACATAATTTTAAGGTCTGAGCTCTTAGCAGAGCTCTCACCTTTATAAACTGCTTCTCATCGATCACATATTTGACATCTTAAGCCAGGTTGCTATCTTACACTTTCAGACCTATAGCATTTTAAAGACAAAATAATTTATTAAAGGTCAACCTTAATAAATTTAAAGGGGCTCTGATCCTGGGAGGTTGTATGCTCAATATGGTATAGAGACTAGCATGCCTGACACACACGTCAGCTTCTAGACCACAGGGCTTTTCATGCACCTGTTCTCAGCTTGGTGCGAGGGAGCAATATTTCCAGATTCATAGGGGATCAACTGCCTCTTCTAAGCTTAGAGGTGACTGTGAGTGCTGCCAGCCCTCACAGCTGCCTGTGGTCTCACGTACAGCTCTGTACTAGAACCAAACAGTACATTTCTCAGAGCCCAAGTAAGTGTACATTCTGGCCTACCCTTTCCCACTGGTCACACCACCTGCTAGTGGGGAACAACTTACTGGAAATAGTGAATGAACCCACTCTCACTTCTGATTCACTGTGAGAGGAATACACTGTACTCAGCATGACATTTAGAAGATTCAAGTGATTAGTTACACAGCCCATTGTGTGATTTGACTACTCATGGAGAATGTAATTATGTTTAATTACCATACCCCTTTTTAAACCACTGGTAAGGAGTCCTGGTGTGGCTCTGTGGGTTAATGAGCTGGACTGTAAAGTCGGATTAAACAACAAAGTAGGTAGCTCAAGCTCACCAGTCATTCCTCAAAAAGCCTATACAGAGTTGTCATGGATCAGAACTGACTCAACGGCACTTAACAATGACCACAACAAGCAAATGTTAGGATCTGATGAGAAGAAAAAAGGCTGGCTCCTGTTAAGGCTGCCCTATGTTTATAACTGTCGGAGTGTTTATAAATGCCTATAATTCTTTTTCACTTATGCACAAACTGAAAGTTATGGCATTTATTTTACTCCTGTTTCCTCTCCCTTGTTTCTGTGAATTAATGAGCACAAGGTTGATTATCTGGTTAGCTTTTCCCTCCCAAAAGACTTTCTGTAAAATTTTATCTGAACCATTATTTACATATATTTATTTTTTATTCCATGCTTCAAATTTGGATAACAGAGACAAAGTGTAGTTAAGTAGCCAAAGCACTGAACTGTGGTCAGGAGACATGGCTTCTCATCCAAGTCTCTTAACTAGCTAGATGTTGTTGTTGTTGTTGTGAAGTGCCGTCAAGTCAATTC